ATATATATATATAGGATTTTTACACTCACAAATGAATCTTTTCTGATAGAAATTAATTCAGTCAGCTTCTGGATTCACCACTGCAGCTCAGTGTTAATGGGATTAATGGGCTGACCTGAGTACATCAGTGTGCAAAAGCCAAAATGATGCACTATATGTAATAAATCCCAATTAGCTGTCCCTTTTAGGCTTATCTTTTCTATTACCACCATTATAAATACCACAGTTGTGCTGTTCAGTAAATAAATTTGAACTTTTTGTTTCTGTCAGGATGTGTTCTTGTTGACCCCCTGACTGCCTGTTTGCTCAGCTCTTGTGTTGTTTCTGTACTTCCTGCAGGAAGTATATTATGGCTTATCCCCTAGTTCGGTTTGAAGAGGTTATGTGTGCCTCTTAGGTGAAACCATATTTAAAAAAATAAAAACTTCCTGTTTCTAATGCATGTGAATGAATCAGCAGAGGAGGAGACCATACTGTTCCGCTAGTGCTAACCACTTGACAAATTCCCCACCTGCAGTTCTGCTTTTCTAATGAAAGACTGGGCTCTAAATAGTGCTGGCCACAACACCAGTCTCCTGACCAAGGTCTGTGACTAATGTGCCTGTGTGCTTTTGTTTATATAATTCAATGTGGTCTAAAAATTGACAGCACACAGACACATGGCAATCAAACAGTCCAGACTGGGTTTGGGTCAAGGATGTATCAGCACTGTGTTGAACATATCCTTGACATTTAATATGAGCCATTCAGAATTCTCACATAGACTTTGGTTTACACCTGTATGACTACGTTATCAATAAAACCCCACAGATTGGCCAAGGCCCTGTCACAACTAACATTTAGAAAACCTATGCCAGCTTATGAAAAGGTTTATCTAACACTGAAGATGTCTAACATACTGGAAGCCTCATTTGGACACATACATGCTGTAATGCTAATGAGTTGAATGACCATGTAGCTTTTATGACTAATTTAATCATAATAAAAGTCAGCATGAGTCATCTAAAATGTTATAGTGTGACAGCTTTTGGTCTGGTTATTGTGTTGCACTTTATATTTACTGAACTGCCAGGGTTTTAGAGATGGATATTATCTGGCCAAACTTGTTGCGTAACAATCAGAAGTCATGGTACGTTTGACACGTGTTGTTTACTAAACCGCTGTTTTTATTTTGTAGCACCGAGTAACGAAGACACGCTTTGATTATTTTTGAGTGCTGCATTGCTCTCTGAGGAGCAAATGATCCCATTACCATTTGTTAATCTGTTTACATTTTTTTTGTCCTGCAGCGCAGCCCATTCTTTACTGGTGCTCCAGGAACATGTCATTCTGGAGCAGCATCTCCTTTAACCTGGCTGTTCTCATGAACATCCTGGTGGGCTTCTTCTACCCACTGGAGGGCGTCCGTGGAGGTCAGTCAGCTTTACTTTTTCTCTTTTAATTTTTGTATTTGTTATGTCCCATATTATTTTCATTACTTCATGATGGATTTAACAGAACTCCCGGGGTTGTTTAGGGACTTAGAAGTCCTCTTGCATCTGTCCCCTTACTTGTACATAGCAATAATCTCTCTAAGTTGAGTTAAGACTGTCAATTTAAAAAAGGGCTCAATCTTTGTACAGTCACTTATTTCACCGTACATATTATTTAAAGTCATATTACTCTATAGAAATTTTATTTCACTATGGCACTGACAAAGATTTTTTTTGAAAATATTTTGGTCAAAATTATAATTTATGTTGACCATTTATGACAGCAATAAAAGCATAAAAGATTTAAAGGTGAACTGTAATTGTCTGTGCTTGTGTTTGTGTGCTTGTCTCTGTTAGGGAAACGTCTCATGAACCAGTGGACGTTTTTTAACAAAACTCGTACGAATCTACAAATATTTAACTGTCACAATTCAATACGGTACAGCAAATTGGTTTTAGCAAACACAACAATGGCTGTAACATAGTCTAAAGCCCTATTAGCACAGGATAAGAATTATCTGGGGACCCCATGTAATAAATAAATTACTCCCCGACGTCTGTGTTTTATGTGGTGCATTTGTACATTATAAACAAAGCCTGAGCTTTTCCTGAAATTTACAGACATCTCCCCAATGTGATATTGAAGCCTGGTTAGTTGTTGTCTATTTAGTTGAACACGGCGTTGAACGGACGTAAAAATAAACCAATAAACATCAATTTATTCACTTTTTCTGCTCTCCTTTCCTCCTGCGTTACAGCAGGCGCTGTCATCTCCATGGCCGACAGACCCCCACCCCACCCCCACACGCGGGCACGGGTGGTATGGATTTTTAGCAAAAATTATACATTTTTGAGGCTCATTAGACAGGTAAACATCCAAAGGGGTTGACACATATGAACACCTTCACAGCTGGAGAGGGTGCGCGCACCTAGCGCGAGTAGCTACCCAAAGCGCGAGCCTGTACTGCGCTATGGCCACAACTCAACACTCAGCATCAGCCAGAAGGCTACAAACAGCTAAATTAATTATTCTTACCGTACAGTGAGCCACCATTTGCATCTGATTTTGCTCCCTCACTTCAGGCTTTTTTATTTATTTATTTTTTAGGCCACATGTAATGTTGGGTTTTTCCGGCCCGGGTCCCAAAAGGTTTTAGGCGCACTCTAATCCAGCCTCCATTCTTCACCAAAATTAAATAAAAATGCACCAAGTAAACCAAAACTGCCTAATAACTTATGGGATTCAGCCCATTCCTGTCCAAATCACAAAGATGCCTATTCGCATTGGATTAGTATTATCACAGGACCTTGGAGTTCAGTGAAAAATGGTAGGTAATTTGCAGGGGAATTTTTACTTTACAAATTACTGACATGGCCAGTTCACACGGGGTTAACAACACAGACAATCTCTGTAATTATTACAAATAGCATGGGTCCCTAGGTAAAACTAATCTCATCAGAATAGGGCTTAAGTTACCAATATTGACCTGAAGTTTGATGTGGTAGTATTTGAGAGTCGTTACCAATACACACATCAAGTGCCATCACATCTCACAAGACTTTACATTATAACATGGGACTGTGCATGATAATCATATACAAGGTCTGACAAAAACAGCTTTAACGCCACCTCTTCACATTTTAAAATGATTTTGGCTTATAGCACTGGCACAAGAAAAGATTCTGGGTGATATGCTCCCTTCGAGGAATGCTATGGTTATAAATCAATAAAGCCTTGATTGTGAACTCTGAATGTTTTTAGTTCACTGTGGTTAACGTGATCTGTGTGACTGCTCTGTTACAACACAGGAAATGGGAGTGAGTGGCACAAACATTACAGCTGAAGTCAGAGGTGAAGCAGGAGACACACAGTGTAGTTCAAGATCTGACTGATGGGAACATCCTTTAGCAGCTCCTCATTACATCAGCAACCCAACTGGTGCTATTTCAGAAATATCATCTTGTATGTTTTTAATGCATTTTATTTATAGCAGTTGGAATGTGTGATTGAATTACAAACAGTACGTCACGGTATTCGTGCAACGCTTCTCTGGGACTTGAACAGAACATTGTGTTTGTGGTTTTGGTGTAGCTTCACACCTCCCTAACCAAAATGAGCTTTAGCACTAGTGGTGTTGTGATGAAATTGTAATCCGAACCAAGGCTTTGGATCTCAAACTGTTAAGACACTACGAAAAAAAAATAACTAAAGAGACTGCATGTTTAAATATGGTAGTCTAACCACCCACATATGTGAGATACATCACAAATAAAGATTTTATCTGATTGGACAAACAGTGTAGACCTACAGAATATGTTGTTTGAACATTGTTATTGCAATGTACCATATGTGCACAGTAGTCACATTTCAGGTCTTGCTTTTTAAGAGGCAAATTAAATCAACATGGACTAAACCACTAAATCAAAAGAAGGGTTTTCCCCAGTGTATTAAGGCTCCATTAGGCTACTGCCGAAATTGGGCCGAACTGTTGCCGTTTCATGACAAAAATTACGTCATTCTGTTCGCATTGTCGACATTTTGGCACTTCTTGCCACATAAGAACACATACGAACTTTATTGTGTGATTGGTCAAATGTTTGTGGGAGTGTTTGTTTGTGCTGAAAGCGCTCAGATGCTACATTTTGCATCAACCACTCGCTTCAAAAAAAAAAAATAAATAAAAGTGATTCGCTTCCAGAGACGACTGTTACCAGGGAGCAGCAGTTTAGAAAGATAGTAAAACGGCCAAAAATTCATAAGAGGATAAAACAGACGTTTTTCACGGTGGAATCTGATTGATAAAACTTTGGAGTTTAATCTGGGACCAGTTTGTGGATAAATAATGTCAGGTGGTGAGTCTCTGTTTTATTTTTATTTTTTTCGCACTGGACTCCACTGGGAAGAAATCCCATGCAGTGACGTATGCTGCAGTGGGAGGGGTTTCCCAGGAGCTCGGCGCGGGGTATCTCAGGAGCTATGGAAGGTGTGTGTGAAAGCGAATGCTGAACAACCACGTGATGGCGCGTAGTCGGGTCGGCTGCTGAGCGACCCTACTGCCAGCTTTATATTCCTTACTTGCTCCCCCTTCAGACTGTGTTTTTAGTTCATTTAGAGCCAGAGCACCAGCAGAGATTATGACAAGATAAGTAACTAGGATGTAGCATTAACAACTGAACCTTAGCCTACCCAGAGCTCTGGTAAGCAGTTGCGTAGGGCCTTGAGCTGAAGGGACACCCCAAGGATGGTACTGAAGTGGCCAAATGCAATGACCACATAAAACATTGAGTGCACTGAAATGACCGGCAAACTATTAAACCCCCCGCCCCCAGTGAGATCCTCCTGACAGCACACAGGCAGTTTTATTTGACCTGTTTTCTGAACTTTATCACACTATAGTCAATTGTTAGATAGTGTCCCTTTTATAATGGAGGAGAGTTACCATATTCTATGCAATCAAACCACATTTTAATAAGTTATGAAGAGCATAGGGGGATCAGCGTCCTGATTTGATTTCAGTTCAATTCAGTTTATTTATATAGCACCTAGTCACAACATACATTGTCTCAGGGCACTGTACATGAAAAAAGAACAATCTAAAGAAGAAACCAGCAGACTGCGTTGAATCACTTCATCACAGTCTCCCATCCTGAGCAAACGATGGAGAGGAAAAACTCCCTGCTAATCAGGAAGAAACGTAAGGTTATGAACATAACCACGGTTCCTTGAAGGAATGGAACGAAGTACAACACACAGTTGTATTTGGGACACGCGCGCCCTCGCGCGCCTGGCTGAAGCCACTTCTAATCACGTCTTTAGACCGGTGACGTTGAACGTCGGGTGACAGGCTCCGCCTTCACCCTATAAGTTTGGAGTCACCAGCGTCATTACTCAGTTAGATACCGCCCTTCACCGAGTCTTTTGTGATGCGGGGCCAACAAGGTGTTGTACTTCGTTCCATTCCTTCAAGGAACCGTGGTTATATTCATAACCTTACGTTCCATTTCAGTCGTTTCACTCAGTACAACACACACACAGTTGTATATGGGACTTGTCAAAGCGCCCCGCAGAGCAGTATCAGACCTGAGTTAAGTAGTGTGCCTGAGTA